GGCGGCGGCGGCCTTGGGGCATCCGCAGCACCACGCACCTGTCTGTGCCGCCACCACCTACAACGTGGCCGACCCGCGGAGATTCCACTGCCTCACCATGGGTAGGGCGGGGGCTCTGGGCACTGGCGCCCGGCGCGCCCCTTCCGCCCCCAGCACTCGTGGGCGCAAACTTTTCGCCTCTAGTGGGAGAATTGGGAGTCGGGGGAGCGCGGCGCGGTGGGAGGGAGAGGGGCCTCGAGCCTAACTGCGGAGTCGTACCCCCAAAGTTCTAGGAAGGTACAAGTTCCCTTTTGCCAGCCTCTCCACGAAGCTGGGCGGGCTCCGACCCGGTCCTGGTCCTGGGTGCCTGGGGTGGGGATGGGGGCACGCTTTGGATCTGGAACTTGAGGGCGAAGAAACCTGCGGTCAGCAGACTGTGTTAGGTTCAGGCTGGGTGCGTTTGAAGTGACATTTGGCTTCCTTGAGTCGGGGCTGACTAAAGGGTCCCGAAGCTTTTAACTAAACTAGCCGACCTCTCACTTCCCTGTGGGGGGTCAGGGAGACAGCCCAGAGGTGCCCATCCAACCTCCACCCGTCTGGTTCCAGCGCGGCCAAGGCCTCCCCTGGCTTTGGGCATATATTTCCTGTGCGCTAAGTCACGACTAGTCTTGAAATGGGAATGGTGGAGGGTGGCGTTTATTGGGCCTTCTGTGGGTGGGTCCTAGAAGGGGCCCTATCCTAGGCATGGCACAGGAGGCGTGCGCTTCCCCGAGTCTCACCTCTCCTGGCCCGTTGCAGGAGGCTCGGACGCCAGCCAGGCACCCAACGGCAAGAGGATGCGCACGGCGTTCACCAGCACGCAGCTCCTGGAACTGGAGCGCGAGTTCTCCTCCAACATGTACCTGTCGCGACTCCGGAGGATCGAGATCGCCACGTACTTGAGCCTGTCGGAGAAGCAAGTGAAAATCTGGTTCCAGAACCGCCGGGTGAAGCACAAGAAGGAGGGGAAGGGCACGCCGAGGAGCAGTCACGGCGGCTGCAAGTGCGCAGGCAGCCAGGCGCACTACGCGCGCTCCGAAGACGAAGACTCCTTGTCGCCGGCCTCGGCCAACGACGACAAGGAGATTTCTCCGTTATGAGCGAGGCTGCCCCCCTTGC